ATCACCTTTTGCGACCTTCTGGCAAGGAGAGTCCATGGGGAAGCCAGATTCACTTAACAACCGTGTTACTAACTTCACCACTGCAGTAATCCCTTTAGTAACGGTGGCAAGAAAGATCGTAAAATGAGGCAAAACTCACTTCACAGCTATCTTGCTTAGCAACAGAATTTTTCAGCTCAGTTGTGGTTATAAGTCGAGAATACCGGTACTCCTATTTGTCTCTTGGGGAAAAATAAAAATGTATAGGCATACCAAAATGACTAGATTAGAGCACTGTAGGAGAACGTAAGCCTGGAAAAGGTGTCGCTGCTTTAACAATCCAAAAAGAAGTGCTTCCACATGCTCCCAGGGGTTCTCAAACTTGGCAATTTGCTGGCTGAGGAATTCTGGGAGTTGAAGTCCACAAGCCTTAAAGTTGCCAAGGTTGAGAACCTCTGCAAGTCCAAGGGATCTCTTGAATAATTACCTAATGAATACTAGATAACCCATGCCCCATTGAATCATTGTTTCAGAGTTATTTCCTTACCTAAAAAGAGAAACAGGATGACCAAGGGCAGAAACAAAAACCACTAGGAGCAAGAGTGATTTCGCACAGAGTTTCCTTGTGGGAATCTAGCAGGCAGATCTTCCATTCCCTGTGTGCTGTCATCCATACAGCAGAAGGTAAATGGCTACTGCTGTGTGGGTGAAGAGAGTATGACGGATTTTGAGGCTGAATGTTGTAATTGAAGATCACATGACCACAGCAGCAATGCAGCAGCCAGTAGCACTGGAGCAGCCACAACTTTGCCAAATTTCATTCTCTTGGGAGCCGTGGGTCCTGGATTTTGGACACATTGGTTCAAAAATTGTTGCCCTATGATGGCCTATTTTGTCCAGTTAAAGGTCATGACAATGAGATGTTCATGTACAAGCAGTAAATGGTGCACGTAACCAGTGATGGGATTCAACTGGTTCTCACCACTTTCGCAGAACTGGTAACTAATTTTTTGTTGCCCAGGCCCAGAATGGACTTCCAGAAGCGGCATCCACACAAAGAACCGGTTGTTCACATATCTGAATCCCACCACGGTATGTAACTGATAAAATGGCCATCTGAAGCTTGAGTTTCCTTTATATGTACTCCTTATACTGTCCCAAATCAGGCTAGGCCTGCCTGCTCCCTTTATATGGGATCATTTCAAGAACTAAGCCAGCAATTTACTGGCTCTACATTAATAAAACTATTGAATATCAACTTTAAACTAGTTTCTGGGAGGTTGCAAAGTGGAAACAGACTCAAAACCTCATTGTGTAAGAAACTCTGTAATACAATGAAATGCAAGCAGTTCCAGAGAGGGCTTTTATTTTAAATCCAGTTTCATAATTAGCCAAAAGTTATGGAGCATCAAGACACAACTCTCTCCCATCTGGAAACCTTCCATATTTTCTCTCACCTTTTTTCTTGCCAGCATAAAATGCATAATGGAGGAAAACACGGAATAGTCACAGGATGTCTTTACATTGGTAATAGTGAAAGCTTTCCATCTGAAATCACCTGCAGGGCTGCAAAGGAGAAATCCCTTGCACAAATCCCTTGGTCCCTTGCACAAAAAATAAAATCTGTGTAAGACAGAAGTTAGCTGTCAGCCATGCCAGACTTTTTCTCAAGGAAGTGTTTTTTTTCCCCTTTGCATTTCTAACATACACGCCGAGTTTTACAGGAACTGTATTAACTTTCTGGAATTAAAAGTGGGTTTGTCAGTTCTGCTGTTGCAACATTCTATGTCTTAATTTCATGCATGCATCAACTGACTTTTACCAACAAGCTGTATCCTCACTTATATTGGGACAGCAACTTCCCAAATTTGAAACTGCTATGGCCAAAACACAAGCACATCCTGTATAGCTACATTTTATGCTGATTCTTGGACCGAAGACTTCTCAAAACCATTTCCCTAAGATTATGCAACCAAGGCAGAGAAATGGGGGAGGGGGGATAATAGGTATTATCAAATTGGTGCTTTCTGGATGTTTTAGACTTCACGTTAGTCCTACATAGCACAGACAATGAGAAAATATTATGGCAGTTGCAGCACAGAAGTCTCTGGAGGACCCAAGGTCTCTGTAGAGACAGACTTTCTGCCACAGTTTTGAAATATTATTGTATTTATTGGCCATGAAGAAAAACATTGGATCATGTTTCTTGAAGGGCAGGAGTTGAATTTGTTTTCTGCATGTTACAGTTTGATTCTCATAAACCCCAACCAGCATGATCAAAGGGGAGGGATGGCATAATTTTGTTGTGCAGTATAGTACACTTTGTACTGTAAGTGTATGGAAGGAACATCCTTCTGAGAGAAACTTACACTTATGCTTGGGAATTGGAAGTTCAGAAAGAAATGTAGTGTAGGACATATGGAGAACAGAAAGCCAAAAATATTCTAAATAATAGAGAAAACCAAAGAACACCAAAAATGAATCCATTTGTTGATTACAAAAGGCCCTTTGAAGAACAAATCAAGCTTTTGAATGTCTTAAGAAGAATGGGAATCCCAGAACATATTATTGTCTTGACACAAAACATATATATGAGATAGGAAGTCACAACTCAGACCAAATATGGCAAAAGAGACTGGCTCCAAATTTCCAGTGAGAGAAGGCTGTATATTCTTGCTTTATTTATTTAACCTATATGCAGAATATATATTGAGACAGGCTGGATTGGAAGAAAATGGTTTTAAAATTGCAAGAAGAAAATCACTGGAAAATTGATGACAATACTGTGACTGCTGAAAATGTAGATGATCTGTAAGTTCCAGTAAGGAAAGTCAAAAGGCACAGTGAAAAAAAAGATTCAAGAAAATCAAACGAATGACAACAGATTTAGCGACCAATCTAGAACTGACAATGAGGATACTGAAGCAGTGGATATTGTCTGCCTTTTAGTGTTGATGATTCACCCTTGAGAATCTTGAAGGAACCAGTTAGCAGCAGATAATCTAACACAGGGATCCCCAACCCCCCCCCCCCCGGACCAGGCCACGGCATACCAGCAACCAGGCTATGCAAACAAGTGAAGCCCCATCCGCCGGATGCAGGCAGCACATGAAACCATGCCCCTTCTGGTCCGCAGAAAAATCTTTCTCCATGGAACCAGTCCCTGGTGCCCCAAAGGTTGGGGGCCTCTAATCTAACAGAAGGCCTAGCTACATGAACTTAATGGCAAATAATTAAAAATCTTGCTGCATAGAATTGTATTTGCCCAACATTGGAAAAATGAAAATTTACCAATTGAAGAACATTAAGAAAATTTTAGAATGTGCAGAAATGGACAGATTGACTTTAAAGATAAAAGAGAAAGAAGACTCAGTGTATTTTAGAACATGGGATAATTTCTATCAATGGCTAGAAACATGAGTTAGAGAGAAAGGAATGTGATATGTAACTTTGAATATATAGTAGTAAGAAGAAGACTATCGAGTGATTAACATATTGTTTATGATAATTAACTATTATCTATTATTTTTTGTTAAAAACATGAACCCAGACATTATGCTGTTTGCTAAATATTGAGAATGTTATTTGGAAAAACTCTAACCCCAACCTCAACCCTAATCCTAATCCTAACCCAAATCAAAATCCCAATCCCAATCCCACCTCATTCCTAACCCTATAAAAACTAATAAAATTTTTACAAAAAGAAAATCTTGCTGCATGATCACTTTTGCTTCAGCACATGGGCCTTTATATTTTGCTTCTTCAAGATTGGTAAATTGTCCAGGTCACATGTAGGCAAGTGTTCTTAAATCATGCTACTTCTACCTCTATGTTTGGAAGGAGGTTCTTATTATGAATAACATTTTGGTAAACATATCTGGAAGCTCATCCAAGTGTTTAATGGCATGTTTGAGTTAAGCATCAATAGTTTTAGTGAACCATTATTTCCATCTTACTACTTTTTGATGAATTTTAACCCTAGTACTTCCAATAGTGAAACTATGGCAAGACTCAGATGTTCTGAGATTCTCCATAAGGAACCTCATTGCCTTTTTCCTGGATGCTTTTTTTTTAACAATTTCTTAGTTTATCTCCCCAAATCTGGAGCCTTTCTGCAAAGCTTTGATGACTAAACAATGCAGGACATTAATTATGAAGTTGTTGTTCTTGGTAAGTGAGGGGAGATGGCTGAATTACAAATGGTGGGTTACTGGATATTTACTGAAGTATTGATTTGGCAATTATATTGTTCATTCTGTTATGTTTACTGGATTGGAATTAAACCCCTCATAACCATTATAACTGAAACAGTATACAAAGCTTAGTAATAAATAAATACATCTACGTGCTGTGACTTTCTGGTGGTTTCCCATCTAAATATAACCAATCCCAACTCTGATTAGATTATTCATTATCAGCAAGGTTATCTCAGTGCTATCCCCTATGATCTAGCCCTCAATATGTATGGTTCGGGATTGCAAACCAAAAATCAGTGCGTGGGGAATGGAATCGTTAAAACAAATATCTTGGGCTGTATATTAATGATCTGAATATAAGGCCAAGTCGAGGATGGCCAGTAAATGTTCACTGAGGTTAGTGAACAGAAGCAACATCTCCTCTGAAAGCACCAGGAAGCCACCAAAAAGAAGGCGAGAGAGGAATTTAGCAAGGAGGAATGATGACCCCAGAGTGAAAAGAAGGACTAGAGGGGAACATAATAGCAGTATTCCAGTATTTGAGAAGCTGCCACAAAGAGGAGGGGGTCAGTTTATTTTCCAAAGCACCAGAGTGCAGGATAAGAAACAATGGATGGAAATTAATCAAGGAGAGAAGCAACCTGGAATTAAGAAGAAACTTCCTAACAGTGAAGACAATTAACCAGTGGAACAGCTTGCCTTCAGACGTTATGGGTGCTTCATCATTGGAGGTTTTCTAAGAAGAGACTGGACAATCATTTGTCTGAAATAGTATAGGGAGGGAGAAATTATAGCCAAGAAACGCAGCTGGCCAGGGGTCACTCTCCGCAAGCAATGAGGAAAGGCACCATCGCTTGGAGATGACCAGCAAATGGCCCTCGCCCACTTCACACACCCGGCTCGGTGGGCTCCGGGGGAGGGGACGCCGTGAGCGGCGTGAGAGTCCACGTTACCTGCGCGACGCCGCCCAGCCTCCAGCTCGCCCGGTTTCGGCAGGCAGTGGCGCGCTCTCCTTACAGCGGGGAGAGGCTGGGCCGGGCGAGGCGAAGCTGGCGAGAAGCCGAACCTGCTTTGCGCTCCTCCCCTGCCTGCGCTCAGCACGGCTGCCGCGGTCATGACCGATAACATCCCCTTGCAGCCGGTCAGGCAGAAGAAGCGGATGGACAACAAGCACCACGGCGGGTAAGTCGGCGTCCTCCCTCCCTCCCTCCCTCCCTCCGACGTTCTTGCCAGGGCGGGGGCTGGGCCTCCCCTTCCCCATTCAAGCTTCGCCTTTTCCGCGCCACGCAGACCCGCTCCCGGAGCAAGCTTCAGCCTTGGCTGTGGGCGCGCCGCCCCGGTTTGGGTTCCCATTCCCTAATAGAGGGCAGCCTCGGCTCTTTCGCTCGCCCGCTCCACCCGGAGGTGCTACTTCTGGGACTGCTTTAGGGAGAAATGCCGCTGTTCTGTGCAGGGCCTGCCGATTGGGCTGCAGAAACGGCGACTCCGGAGTTTCCGAATTAGCCAAATTGCAACAATGGAGGGATATTTCCGTGGCCGATTCCTAAATGCTCTACAGAACAGCGTCTTCCTTTTCCTGGCACCTTCCCCTCGCCCGAGACTGGACCATTTTCCCCCACCTTTCTTCTTCCCTTGTCTGTTGTAAACACCCGTTTCGGTACCGCCTCGGTGGCCAGAAATGTTTCCCTCGCGTTGGGAAGAGCTCAGTTGGCTTAGAAAGAGAAATAGACCGGGGAAAGGGTTGTGCGGGTCCCGGAGCCGGAACGGGCGTCGGGGGGAAGGCTGGGCAGCAGGAACTGACAGGTTGATTCTGACGCCATTTGTAGGTGGCACGCCCAGGCAGAGACTGCCATTCCAGTCTCAGCAACCTGGACGAAGAAGGGAAGGGAGAGAAGGAGACGGCTCCGGCCGGCAGTGGCCTTTTCTGGAGCCAAGCTCGGAAGGGAAAAAAGGAAGGAGGCATCTCTTTATAGATAGTCTCCCTACAGCCAGGAGAAAGCAATAGAGAATTACACCAAATATGAATTTAGGGTGGGAGGCTCTGCCCCTTTTCATTATTAGGCAGCTCAGCATATAAACTTCGGGCTGGTTCTCTTTAATCTTGGTAAAAGTCTAGTGTATCTTCTGGAATAATCCTCCCAGAGGTATTCTGCATTAGGCTGAACATGTTCCATCTTAGCAATTAAAATGCTTGCTTTTTCCTCCCAGAAATGTCTTCCTTAATGGCTGATTTCTAGAAGGTTTACTGTATAAAATTATAATTGTCCATCAGGAACACCTGACCTACAGCTACTGGATATTTTGTGCCTTTAAAATTCCTTTTGAAGCTGCAAATGAAATAGATGTTTCTTTCCTAGTCACTTTCTCTGATTTCTTTGTGTAGCAAGCCTGAATTTCAAGTCATTATAGCTCTGAGCTTCAAGAATAAGAGGTGGGAGACACCTCTTTTGTTTCTAAGTCAATGTGAACCATTTGTTGTCAAGCACATTTTATAAGACCATTAATTGCATCATGAGGAAAAGAGAGACATAGCGAGTGAAATGTAAAACAGAATGTTGAATGCTTCCTACAATCTATAAATGTTAGAACACCAGGTTTCATATGCATAAAAATGTCTATTTAATTAACTATTAATTATTCTGCTCCTTATGGAGAATAAAGTATTTAAAGCCAAGTAACCACTTCTTGCATGGAATTAAAAGATATAAATCATTGACAGTAAACAGGTATGTTATATATGTTCAAATCTATAGGAGAGTATTAAATGCACAATTTACTTCGATTTATGAGTTGAAAGTTCTAAGCTGTTCAGTTTTTACACTTAAAAATTATCAACAAGATTCAGTCCAAAAAGCAAAGGGCAAATCTATGCAAAAGGTAAGATTTCTTTCAAATCAAGCACAACTCCTGATAGTGGATATTTTATCATCCCTGTATGTTTTTTTTGGCTGGCTTACAAAAGTAGTTTGGCATTGCCTATTGCCGGAATGTATAAATGAGGTAGAAATGTAAAAAGATGCAGCTGCTTCATTTGTGCTTCATTGTCCTCCTGAACATCTTTTTGAAATAAAGTTCAAAGCAATGTAAAATTAGAAATTAATACATTCCTGTTTTATTAATTTTTGGAGAGGCACGAACAAACTTTATATATTCTTAAAACCTTCCCCTGCCCCACTTCAAATAACCATTACTGAATGAGGAGTGAGAAATGAAGGGTGGCCCCTACAAGAAATATGTAATTTAGTTTAACGAATCATTGTGAGAGAAATGATTACCCTCTCCATTCAGAAATACAAGAGTCATTTCTTATATATTGTACATATATATGCATACATATATAAATGCTATAGCTACTTTGATCTAAAAGAGATAAACACCGCTATATCTGGTAGTGATTGGACTCCAATTCTTCTTACTTCAGTTCTCATAGCCAATGATGAGGAGTGATTTGACCTGTATTAGCAATGTCTGGAGGATCAGGTTAGCAGATCAGATCACAGATATCACTGATCAAGTTAAGTAAGGTAACATTTCAAATAGCAAGTACTATGGAGGAACAATAGCTACATCATCTTGGCTGATACTCCCAAGCTGCCCTGAGCTTTTATGCTTTATTACAGTCTTTCTCACTCTTTGCAACTACCTTTCTGTAGTTTTTCAATTCCAATAATTCTTAGCATTGGCCCTATCAACTAGGGAATTCTGGGAATTGAAGTTTACACATCAGAAAGTTACAAGGGTGGGAAATAACGCTCTATTGGATATGTATTAATTGTGTGCCATCAGGTCAATTTTGACTTTTTGCAACTAGATATACAGGTAGTCCTCAACTTACAACTACAATGGAGCCCAAAATTTCTGTTGTTAAGTAAGACATTTGTTAAGTGAGTTTTGCCCCATTTTATGACTTTTCTTGCCACAGTTGTTAAGTGAATCACTGCAGTTGGTAAGTTAGAAACCCATTTGTTAAGTGAATCTGGCTTACACATTGACTTTGTTTGTCAGAAGGTCACAGAAAGTGATCACATGATCTTGGGACACAGCAACGGTCATAAATATGCACCAGTTGCCAAGCATCTGAATTTTGATCACATGATTATGGAGATGCTACAAAGGTAACTGAGAAAAACAGTCATAAGTCACTTTTTTCAGTACTGTTGTAATTTGAAATGATCACTAAATGAACTGTTGTAAGTCAAGGACTATCTGTATTTTCTCTATCATAGTCTGTCCCTAACTTGTCCTTCCAACAATGTATCCATCACCACTGTAACCGAGTCCATCCTCTTCATTTGCCTCCTCTCTTTCTTTCTACCTTCACAGCATCTACCTTCAAAGAGCTAGATCTTGCGTAATAGTCTAGAGTAGCATAATTTGGACTTAGTCATCATGACTTGACTAAGAACTCTGATTTATTTGATGACCCATTTGTTTGTTTTCTTGTCTGACCACAAGCTCTACTGGAAAACAAAGTTCTATATGCTATGTAGCCTTTCCTGTGTCCCTGTCTCCCACCCCTACTTGTAGAAGCATCTCTTTCTCACAGATGCTGTTGTGTGGCCAATAGTGAAATGAGTTCAGTTGAAAGACCATCTGGCTACCTTAGGAGATGAATGGTAGTCAATGCCATCTTGTTGTCCTTTGCTCCAGGATGCAAAGTTTCTTGGGGATTTCCCTTCAAAGGCTGACTCATAAACCATTGGAGCCAGCAGGCACTGCAGTTTCCTGAATAGCTAAAAGACTAAAGAGCACATTGAAGTGTAACAAACATATTACAGCTAATAGCTGATCACAAGGATGGATATTTTATTAGGGATATGATAATATCAAGCATTAGAAAATAACATAACTGAGTGAAGTGGATTCATCTGGTGAGTCTGTTGACATGAAAAGCAGACCTCGTGGTTGTGAAATGTGTAGGCCAATTAGCACTCAGTTGCTGCAGTTCTTCTCTTTCTGAAGATTATACAATTTCCACTGGAGTTTTCACAACCTCAGTTGTGTATCTTGCCTTGTTAGCAGTGCTTGCAGTAATTATATCAATGTAACCTTAGCTCCAATGCTCTGTTAGTTATAGGCTGCAGAGTCTGGTTGTTCCAGCTGGGCTACAGAAGTGATCTTGCCTGTAACCATCAAGAGCTGTTGACAGCACAGAACTGGGTTGCTACATTAATGTAGAATTATTTTTTTCTCAACTGTCTACCTTCCTGGCCTCTGGGGATTTTTTTGTGTTAGCTAGTTGGATTTCAGAAGACCAGCTTAACTTTTCATTATTCCACTTTATTTCCAGTAAAGATGAAAACATCTGATTGGTAAGCAGCATTAGTTAGATAACATTTTGATGAACTGAAAAAGCATCAAAGTAGACAACCAAGCCAGTTGTTATTTCTAATACTTAGTAAAAATAATTTTTAAATTTAAATTAAAAAAAAATAATTTTAAATTTGAGTAATTACAAAGGGCACATACACCATTAGAGGAGGCACCTCCACCTGTGTTTGAAGGATAGGAAAGGCTTCTTATAAGACAATATTTATAGTATCTTTGACCTATAAATGTATAATTCCCACTTATGGCTTGATCATTCCTCCTCCTTGTTCCATCAAGCAATCTCAAAAGTATTGATCCCAGTCTAAAATGTTGGTCTGAATCCAGCTCTCCTAATGTGTTTTCTAATATATTCATCTATTATAAATTGCTAAAACCTTGTCATATGTAGAATGGAGAAAGTGTATGCTTTTCATTTTAAGAAAAATATCAGTGGTTACACTAGCATTGCTTATCAAGTTTGATAGTATCAGTTCAGACATGCTAATTCTCCTATTTGTCTACCATATGATAACCTTATTTTTACTGGTATGTGGTTTGTCACATAGTCAGCTGATGTTCAGACTGGATTTGGCAATTTTGTCTATCTGTTGAGTCCTTCCCAAGGACCTGAGCTAGACAGATGTGGATGTTTGATGGTGTTACAGATATTTAACCCCATCTGTGTTGCAGGATGTAAGGTATTCGAAGTAAAGCTGCCTTTTATTATCTTACACATGAGATATTGGGTTGTTTTAGAAGACAGGCCCGAACTTAACTAGTCCTCAATAGGACAATGAGATTAGCCTGACCCAACTCAAAATGGTGGTATTTAAAGTCTTAAAAAGGTTGAGATCAGATTACTTGAAGAATTA